AAGGCAAGGATTGGCAAAACAAGGACAGCATTCCTACAGTCGAAGAATATATGGAACTCAAAACAACTTTCAACCAATATCAAAGTGAGAATCTTCAATACGAACGTCAAGGCAGTTCTACTATACGGAGCTGAAACTTCGAGAACTACAACAACCATCATCAAGAAGGTACAAGTATCCATAAATAGTTGTCTACGCAAGATACTCAACATCCTTTGGCCGGATACCATGAGCAACAACCTACTGTGGGAGAGAATAAACCAGCTTCCAACTGATGAGGAAATTAGGAAAACACGATGGAAGTGGATAGGACATACATTAGGGAAATCAGTAAACTGTATTACGAGGCAAGCCCTAACTTGTAATGCTGAAGGGAAGCGGAAAAGCGGAAGACCTAAGAACACATTACGTTGGGAAATAGAATCAGATATGAAAAGGATGAATAACAACTGAAAAGAATTGGAAAGGATCGTTTGGGACAGGGTTGGATGGCTAGTGCTGGTGGTTGACCTATGCTCTTCCACGAGGAGTAACAGGTGTAAGTAAGTAAGTAATGATGGTGATTATCAAGAATTATTACGATTGATAGAAATTATTCACTGACAAATTCAGACAGCAATTCCTTTTAATCATTAATAAAAATGAATTTGAAAACATTTATACAGGATTAAGATTATTACATTTGTGGATAGTAATCAATGTCGGAAGTAATGAATTATGTACATTTAGTCTTATTTGAAACTCGTTGGGTGGATACGTTTTTCAGCTCATTTCAATATTCATGTAGCACTCAATACTTCAAAACTTCAATGTGTAATATCTTAAGCTATAAATACATGATAACTATTTAGTTGTCCAAAAGATAGGATGTTAATCTTTATAGTTATATATGATCTCCGTTAAGAGATATCTCAGTGAAGAAATTAACCGTAAGATGTAGATACATTTAGTTAAAGAATTTGTAAAAGTATGAAATGGACATCTTGAATTTCATTATTGGCCATGATAGAAAATTACAATTCAAAAAAACATAACTATCAGAAATCGATAGAAATTCAGCCTTGAATATCAGTAACGAGAAACGTATCCTCCTCATGAAAATAAACATAAGTAGACATTATAGTGTTTGAACTGAGAATTTTTATTTAGGTATGATATGAGTTTATTATCGCGTTATTCAGTCCCATTGGTAAAATGAAGCTGCGTGGATTTATTTTTTATGTCAGCAAACTGAAAAATTCGTAACAATGAGCAAAGATGAATAGTGGATAGTAGTGGAATCCAGTTTGATGCGCGTTTCGTCCTAGCTCGAAATCGTCAGCTGGATGTACCTATATCTCACAGTTAATATTCACTCCAGGACTCGAACCCAATACTGTTCGCTTCGAATGTCAGTGTTGTCTACTCAGTTACTTATTTTATAGAGGAAACCATTTTCAAACCATTCAAATCTATGCCCTAAAAATATGAAAAATGTTCATTCGTTTAACCGATAGCATACTAGTACTTCATAGGTATCGGGATACATTTATGATGAATTATTGTGTTCTTTCACCTCGTCTCAACCTTCTAATCTCAATGATAAGTTCGTTAAATAAACATTCAATCCGATTTCCTAGCCGCTTCTGAAAATCCTGGGATAAATCTATACGGAAACTGGAACACAAGAGAAAAGGCGCGCAGTGCTGAAAAAAAGTTTTACTCCAAGGTTAGTTTATGTACAGAAAAACGAGGGTATTTGCTGAGTTTTATGTGACCTTGAGCTTCTGTAAGTTTCTGGAACTACACTAAATAAAGTAGCGGGATAGGCAAATACAGAATCAAAAAAGTCAAACGTGATTCATCACTTTCTAGGTGTTTCTGTGACGCTCTTATTTAACGCTGATTGGATAGTGCTTCTTAGCGTTTTCTGAACACCTATAGACTTCCGAAGGATACTGTGGAAATCTCAACACTTAACGGTTTAATGTATAACGAAAAAGATGTTTCTTCAAACGCTGCCAAATAGTTGGTCAAACAATCTCACAAGATTTCCTTAAATATATAAGATGGATATTATTGAAGCTTTCTGTTTTGATAGTTAAACATCTTTGATTAATTCTGACTAAAATATAGTGATATTGGAAGCGGTTTTTGTGGATATCATAGTAATTTTAATAGTTGAGATAATGAGTCGATTGAAGCTAAACCACCATGGAAAACCTCGAAGCACTGGACGGCCGTTTCGTTCTATTGTGAGACTTCTCAGCAGTGCGCATCCACGATCCCGCCTCGCGAGATTCAACAGTGGTGGATGCGTCGCTCAAGTTCGTGTATAAGCTGTACAGCTCATTTTCGTGGATTGTTGAAATCAAACACTAACACCGTTGGATGCCGGCCAGCTCAGTGGTCTACAGGTTAAGTGCTTCGCGCGAGACCGATAGCTCCTATGTTCGGATTTCTCAAGACGGGATCGTGGATGCGTACTGCTGAGAAGTCCCACTATAGGACGAAAGAGCCGTCCAGTAGATTCAAGGTTTTCTATGATGGTTTAACTTCAATTGACTCATGATCTCAACTACTAAAATACATTTGTACACATATTTACGACGATAAAACTGATGGGAAAGAGGATTTTCAAAAGTACTCTTTTTTAACAGTTATATAGTACATAAGAGTATAATCTACAGTATACAAATAACTGGGTAAGAATAAAACATTTTTTCCGCATTTAGATTTAATTTATCTGCGTCCAATTCCTAGCTTTGCTACCTCAATAATTACATAATTGTATACCCTGTTTTAAGGTACATGTTTCTATGTAATAGTAAATATATCTATTTACTTTAACCAAAGGATGGGGAATTAAAGACCAAACCATGTTGTAATTTATGAAGATACTAGTTTAGCTACTGGTTTGGAGACGAAAATGTTTCTACTTGTTACAACAGGTCAAGACTGATATTGCTCGATGTAGAAAAAAAAGGCAACACTATAGATGAACTGATCGATTATTAATGTTAGAATACAATGAATGATATATGATTGACTTATTTAGTCGATAGTTTTATTCGGATATAATGAACTAGATAATAGTTTATATTAAATAATCAATAACTAAATGGATGCACACAATTTACAATGTCAATAGATTTAATTACACTCATTAAGAATATAATAAACTAGTTAGTTATATATTGGTTTTTTCTTGACAAACTTGCTACTTACTTACTACAAGTTCTTCTTTTTACATTCAGTCAATCAGCTACAACGTAGAACCAGGCACATATATATGCATCGCTCCAAGTTGCCATACCTCACTCATTATAACACAACAAGATAAACACCCAATTCATAGAAGTAGTTAATTCAATGGTGGTAATATATAAAAGAAAGATTGCGTATAAAGATATAGTACAGGAAGGAAGAATTAGTTAGTAGAAAGAAAGATATGAATAGATTTTAATCTCATAGTTTAAGAGAAGACAAAGAGTGTATACACCTACACCATTGTGGTCGATTCTGAGCCATGTCAGCCACATTCTCAAACCATTGGTCACGCGGACCCCAACCAAGTAGTTTGCATCTACCAACATGACTCAGACCAGAAGTCAGTGACTTCAACGACTGATGCCACGTTTTGGTGTGGCCGAACCTAACTCTCTTCCAACCATCCCCAACACTAGTCAGCATTGAGTGTCGTGGTAATCCGTTTTCAGACATACGCAACACGTGGTCCGACTATTTCAGTCGAGGAACATTCACAACCTCATCAACTGACTTACCATCATTCCCTAATACCCTGTGTCTAACCTCGCTATTATTTACCTGGTGATCGCAGCAGATGCGAGGAATATTTCTAAAGCAACTGTGGTCAAATAATAGTACCCAATGACAAGAACTAGATATCATTATTGCTCGACTAATCTAATGAATTTATTCAGTTAACTAGTTATTAAAACACTGAATTAAACCAACATTTATCCATTCCATCATAGATGTTACTAACAGTCATAATTAAAATAAGTGAAAAAAATTGTTCATCTATTAAACGACATGCATTTATTTGTATGTGGTATGATACATTTACAAATAGTACACATTCATTGTGAAAACCAATTGCCGGTTCGATGAAATCAACTCAAGTGTGACTAGGTTTCGAGCTTGTAACCCTTATGATCGGAAATTCCAATATACAAAGCAAATTGTTCTTACTTCATCATATAGAAGATTGCATTCAGTTATAATTTACCATTTTAATACAACCATATATACATATTATTGACAAGAGAAATTTCCCCAAATGCATTCACACAATAACTGATTGAACATAACTGATGTAATGACGAGAGTGATAATGGTTAGTTGTCTGCTTAGTCAGACATGCACATAGTCTGATAGGTGTCAGATAAGTTATATATTCCCTTATCCTTCTAATTATTATGGCACACTTATTATTGATTGTTCATGGTTGTTGGATTGTGTCGGGTTTTGGTGTGGAAATATATTTAGGTTGTGGTCAGGCTAATCACGTGTTCATGATCTGATTTGTGTTGAAGTCCTGTAGAATTGACACTGGGAAGGATCTAGTGTAGATAATCGTTTAAGATAAATTAACGTCCCATGCATGGAAACCCAACCGTTATAACATTAGACGAAGTAAAACCAAGCGTTATAACAATTGGCAACAGGGTAAAAAACAAAGAACCAAGGGTACAAAACCACAAGTTATAATAATAACAATCCAATCTTAGTTACTAAACAATAAAATTTTTCTAAAAACTGTCTGAATTAGAGTTATGAACAGTATAGTACAAAAAGCATACATTAGAGATGCTGTAATTCACTTATAAATATTGACTAACCAACACATTATTCTACATTATTAAAAACTGAATATTTTAGATCTTTTCTAACGAACAGTCTGATATAAACTTAGATTAAGCAATTAGTTGTCTAGCTTTTTTTTATCGAAAGGGTATATTTTTGTGGATATATTATAGTAATTTCAATAGTTGAGATCATGAGTCAATTGAAGCTAAACTACTATGAGAAACCTGGAAGCAATGGATGGCCATTTTATCTTATTGTGAGACTCTTCAGCAATGCACATCCATGAATACAGTTTAAAGAACAATTTTCAAAAGCTCAATTAAGTAAAGTATGAATACATACCGTTTAATAGTGTATGAAATACCTTTTATTCATTCAATTACAAGTTTGAAACTTGACTCAAACTACTTCCATTTGAACACAGAAATATAACCATTTATAAGTAACATAAGAATCTAACACATAATCAATATATATGAATTACGTAACTCAATTGTTTAATTAATTATACAAGTATATTTTAAAACCTTACTACCCAGATTAATTAGTAACAAGAACATGAACACGGATACATCAAAACAAATAATTGATGATATATCTTTTTGTTTTCACTGATTATCTGTAAAGGATTAATGGAAGAAAATAAGAGAACATTAATGAGAAGAAAAAAAGAGACATAAAGGACAGTAGAATAAACAGATAAAGAGGAAGAAAACAATGAGCTCAGAAAGAAAGAAAAAGAATGACAAAAATGAAAAATATCGAACAACTACCCCCCCCACGCACACAAGTACAAGTAATCAAAATGATACTGATATTAGTAGTAACGAAGGATGAATGTATTGTGTATTTGTTTTACCAATATATATGTCCATGCCTGATGAATAAGATAAGTAATAACAGAGTTGAGTTTTTTTTCGGATATAACAGTTCAACTCTATTACCATTTGCACATGTTATATGGTACATGAGAAATGAAATGTAAGCAATTGATTGAAAAAAAAAAAGAAAGATGAATAACTAGGGAAGAATTGCTTGAAATTCTTTTCTTTTCTATATCTATGTACGGTAACAATACTCATCACAGTGAATATCAGCCATCACCATAGTAATAAAATGTAAATGATCATCAAAAAACAAACAAACGATACATATGAATAAAAGATAGAATTTTAATTGTGTTATTAGGATATAGAATTGAGCTAATACAATCTACACATAGTTTTGTATGATGGTCAATTTTTTTGTGCATGATATCAATATTATGAATGATAATGATGATCAGTGACCAAGTAATGTCCAAAATAATAATAACAATAATAATGTTAATAGTGACTAAAATTATGAGTTACTTAATCAAAGGATTAAAAATAGTTGAAACAAATTGGAAAAAAAAATCGAGTAACGGTTGACATGGAAACATGTAGATTCCATATTACCACTTAAGTAAATAACCAACAACAACAACAAAAAAAAAGGAGGAAAATACGTATATGTACATAATTTTGTTTTAAATTGTATATATATATATAAGCAAATAAAAACAAAATATATACTGTACTCACTATGATCTGACTTATTTCCTTTCACTAATCAAAGAATATGAACATCCATGAAAGTTGGATCATTCGATTGAACACAAAGAACAGTGTAATTATGATAATAATAATAATTATTATTATAGTAATCGACGATCACATGTAAATCAAGACGTAAATCATCAAAAGTAATTCATAATTAACGTCTTAATTCTGGTACTTTATCTAAACTACCAAAAATATTTTTTAGTTTAGCTTCATAATCATCAATATTCCTTCTGAGTATATCTAAGCAAGGACCAAGTAAACGTTCAAAACTTCCAACATCCAATACAGCAAGTTTAGTATGACCATCAGCATATGCTGAAGCAGCACGTGGATGACTTGTTAATAAAGCTAATTCACCAAAATAGCCACCTTTTTCAATAACAGCTACTTCTTTTTCTTCTGTTTCTCCGCTTCTTTTCATTTTAATGCGTACTTTGCCTTCTTCAACAAAGAACATTTCATCACCTGGATCACCTTGTTTGATAATTTGTTGATTATCTTTGAAGATTTTTGTTCTTAATGCATCTGCAATACTCATGCGTTCATAAGCACTGAGACTTTCTAGGATTGGTACTTGATTAAGTAGTTCTTCATATAATCTACGTTTTTCAAATGCTTTTTTCAATACAATTGAACGAAAAACTTCACGTGTCATTACCCAAACTACACCTTCAGTTTTGGCTAAAATAGTTGCAGCTCGTGGTGTATTATACATCAGTGCCAATTCACCAAAAGACCCTTTGTTGTCATATTTTCCAACAGTTTTTTCTTCATTACTAACTTTCACAATGATATCATAAACTCCTTTTTCTATTACATAAAAATTATCACCATCTTCACCAAGTGTAATTACTTTTTCACCAGGTGATACATGACGTTCGTACATGGCATCAATAACATCTTTCATTTGATCATCATCAAGACATCGGAAAAGGAGAATATCTTTAGTGGCTTGAGCTAATCTTCGACGTTGTTCTTCTGTTTTAGGATGTACAACTTTTTCTACATTTGAAGTATCATCTTTTTCTGGATCATAACTTTCTGCAGCTACACCAGCTCTTCGAGTAGCTCGTTGTGGAGGTATAGGCATAGGTTCCTCATCTTCATCTTCACTTTCAGTTGTTTTATTTGGACGATTTTCTGATGCCGCCTTCTTCATCATTAGGAAATCAATAGCAAACTGAATTAAATTATCAGGGTGTTCTCGCAGTATAGACACAGTTAATTCTTGTAATAATTCCCTTAGACCAGGGGGAACGACAACTTCGTCCTTCATCGTCATTATCATACAATAGACTTTCAGTATATACGATAAATAATACTATTGGTTTTGAGATTTGAATAATCAACAATTACAAACTTTGTCTACCACTTAATCAAAAGTCATAGATTTGATTGGTTACCACTTGAAGGTCACGTAGAGGTACACACACATCAAGCAATAGACAATTATTAGTATGTTCGTAGTTGTCAGAATGACACGAAGGGGGGGTGGCAGGAGTAGTAGTAGTAGTAGTGGTAGTAGTAGTAGTTGGACAGACAACTTCCACTTATCACAAAAACAGTTATGTCCTTATTTTTGTTGCTAAAATGAAAGAAAATTTAAGGATTTTTTTTTAGCTAGTTCTGAACGGATTAGATTAATGAAGAAATTTTGAATTTTTTTCCTTACAGTTAAGAGTCTCCACTTTGGAAAGAAAATGGTTGAACACTACCACCATAACAACAACAACACAACTACAGCTACTTGAGTTAATTCCATTAACCTGTCTGTTCTCTATTCTTTGCCTACAAACATATAAAATATTTTCTAGGTTAACAAAACTTTCCATATGTCAGATGTAAACATTGCTCAATATTAAGGGAAAAGTAGTTACACAATCAATCGTTATATACTGATCAATAAAAGGAAAAAAATGTTACTCTTATTAATATGTGCATTGTGTTGACCTTTTAAATATGTCATAGATATTAAACCTATAACTTGATAGTAAGTAGTTAAAATGTACTTTAATTCATCCTTAAATATTCTGTTGGCTTAAATTGGAGAAGGGAAATATAAAATTGTAATAACCAATGAAATTGAATTTTTCTACTCACTTGGGATATTCAACAAAATGGTTTAATATCAGTAACTGATAAACAATAATGCTTTACTAGTATAGGGGTTGTGGAGATTATTAAGTTTTTGATTGAGATAATAAACCAATTGATGTTAGACCATCACAATTGAAAACCTGGAAGCACTGGACGGCCATTTCGTCTTATTATGGGACTCCTCAGCAGTGCGCATCCACGGTCCCGCGAGCGGGATTCGAACCCAGGGCCTTCGGTCTCGCGCACGAACGCTTAACCAACTGGACCACTGAGCCGGCATCCAATGGTGATAGTTTCTAACATCAACCAATCCATGAAATTGTGTGACCAACTTCCATTGTACTGAGGTAGATAACTGTCTCTACCCGACAAGGATTAGCTCCTTTAATTCAATAACTTATGTTTCACTATAGAATATTCTAATAAATTCTTATTTTAATAATTAAATTCATGAGTCAATCGAAGCTAGATCACTATAAAAAAACCTGGAAGCATTGAAAGGCAGTTTCCTCCTGGTATTGCATTCCTCCTCAGTGCTCGTCCACGATCCTGCACCACGAGATTCGAAATCATGACATATCAGTCTCGCGCGCAAACGCTTAACCACTACACCACTGAGACGGCCGTCATCCAACGGTGTTAATGTCTATCTTCAACTAATCCACAAAATTCAGCAACACATCCACCATTGTCATCAGTGAGTTACTATCTCACAACTGACCCGGTTGAACTCCACAGATCAATGCTTCTCACTAGAACTCCAGGAAACACATCTCGAAGTCAGTCACTAATGAGCATATGTTGATTAGTATCAGAAGGGATTTTGTCGAGATTGTAGTAATTTTATAGTTGAGATTATGAGTCAATTGAATCTAGACCACTATGGAAAACCTGGAAGTACTGGACAGACGTTTCATCCTAGTATGGGACTCCTCAACAATCCGCATCCATGATCCTGCCTGACGAGATTCGAAACCAGGACCTATCAGTCCTCTTTATAACCCACAAAACTTGTTAATCTTCAAAATACAAGTGAATAGAATTTTTAAACGGTAATTAGTTGTCATGCGTCTTCATTAACGAAATTTATCTGACCGATTTAACTCTTAAGATAATTTGATGAATGAATTCTGATACACTTGTCATTTCAGCAACAAAAGAATATATGGGAGTAAATATATGTCAATAACTGTGATGATTTCTTTCGAATTTAGCAGTGGTTATAGGTTGTAAGATTGTTATCAGATCGTTTGAGCGAGCATATTGGGTGGTTAAAGTAAACAGTTAGTTAAAACGGAGAAACAGTGGTCTAGAGGTTAAGCGTTTGCGCGCGAGACCAAAAGGTCATGGGTTAGAATCCCGCGGGCGGGATCGTGGTTGCGCACTAGAACGAAACAGGTTTTTCATACTGGTCTAGCTTTAATTGACCCATGATTTCAACCATAAAATTATTAAAGTTTTCGCACAATCCCCTTCTGATTAAAACAGAAAACTTTCTTGAAATATTTGAGAAATTCACTGACTTCGGAGGCACATTGATATAAACGTTTGTGTTAGAACTAATTAACCCTGAACTCAAGTTTCTCACTAGTTGGTAGTTGTCAACAGGGCAAAGATGAAATCTTTAGAGAACTGATATTTTCCTTTTGTATCAATCGCGTGTTACCCAGCCTTAGGCTAAGACTTTATTAATGAGGTGTTCGGGTATTCATCGATTGCAAAATTATTGCTAGATGACCTGATCGTCATTTGCTAATAAGAATTGATTTAGGTTAACCATAATATGGACTGAATATGAATGTCAAATCAATTGTCTAAAGATAATGTGTTTATCTCGAATGGTGCTACAACGTCCATCGGTTCAGTACCTAGGGATGGAGTGGATACCCACTGCTGAACAGTTTGGAAAATGGGATAAACCATGAAATTCATAAAACAAAGATAGTTTTCTGTTGAGTTCTAGACTAATCCCAAGTTTATAATCTAATATCTATGAAGAATATATGATTTCTAAGCATCACCATAATTCTTTGACAAAAATCCTTGATATATAGAAGTAATTTATCACCTCGAATTAATTGCAGAAAGCCAAGGAACACTGTACAGTAAGATACTACCCAGCTTGCACACTAACGATACCGATAGAGGTCGAACTCAAAACTTTCAGGTCTCTTTGCAAGCGCCAACTCTTCAAACCGATGAGTTTATATTCAATGATTAACACTTATAGCTTCAGCACAGCGATCGTTCTTTAACGTTTCTACTAACTGTCTGATAGCCTCATAATTGGATTCCACGAGTTATAGCTTCAGGAAAGCACGTGCTTACTATCAAGAAGGGGGAGGGGACTACTCAGTTGGAAGATAATACACTTGAGTGAATAATGGTAGCCTAATAATTATCTTTACAATCCAAAAACAAACAAACAATACAAACTCACATTGTATGTATGTATGTATGTTTGATAATTGTAATTTGGTATCTTTTCATTCTTACATCATTGATTTAATTTTATATCATTACAGATAGATAATCGATTAATTTTCAATAATTGATTATTTTTTCTTCATAAAGAGATCACGTTTTATTTTCTTTAATTTTTCAGTTTAGTTATAAATTCCTTTTCTACATTTTTTTTGTTTTGTTTTAATGAAACTTATTATATTCAGGAATTCAAATGTACTTTAATCCCAAGGAATAATATATTGTAATTACAAGAGAGTTAGATTCGTTTTTTTTTACACACATTCTCTATTACTCTTCTATTGTGTGTTACGTATGCCCAACGACCGACTGCCTCGACGTGCGATGTTCAGTGGTATAGGAGTAGATTGGAAGAAAGCTAGGGGCGGCCAGACCAAAACATGGCACAAGTCCATGAAGTCACTGACAAGTGGTCTGAGTCATGTTGATAGGTATAGACTACCTGGTTGGGGACCGCGAGATGATAGCAACCGATGGTTAGAGACCCTGAATGACATGGCTCAAAATCGTTTGCAATGGCGCAGGTGCATCCACTCTTTGTGTTCTCCCAAATTCTAATCTTCTGAATTCTTCACGTCCCTTTTTCCTCTTTCCAAATTTATTTCACTGAATTATACTCTTTAAATAACATCTCCAAACCCTAATCTTCCCGATCACTGCTTACACTCTTGCTACCTCTACGACTACGGGATTTGAATCGACAACTGCATCTCTGTGTTAAGGTGGTGTGGCAACTCGAACTGATGTACGTACGTACGAAGTTCTACGTTGTTACTGACTGACTGACTGACTGATTCTCTTTTAAGGGAAATAAGTTCCTAACATTGGTATTTATAAGCAAAGATGGATAGTGGCTAGTAATGGAATCCAGTGTGACGCACGTTTGATCCTATTTGGGACTCGCTAAGTAGATATACGTGCATCTCAGAGTTGATGTTCACTCCGGGAGGGACTTGAACCTAGTACCGTTCACTTCAAACGTCATTGTGTTATCTACTCAGTTAATGAGTCCTCATAACCACTAGTTTGTGCAATGTGATCAAGTTTAAATTCATTTTGTATTGTTTATTTGAATGTTCCGTTTGAGGTTTAGGACTGCGATTGATCAGTCTCTTATCGGCATATATGCATTCTGTGCGTATTGTCTCAATATAGCTTTAATTCACAAGCTTTATAAGCAAAGATGGACAGTGGCTAGCAGTGGAATGCAGGACACGCGTTTCGTCTTATTTGGGCCCCGTCAGCTGGATATACCTGCATCCCAGAGTTGATGTCCACTTTGGGACTCGAACCCAATACCGTTCGCTTCAAACGTCATCTTTGCTTATAATACTTGTGAATTAAGGCAATATCGAAGCAATACATGTAGTATGCATATATGCCAATAACAGACTGATCAATTGCAGTCCTAACACATCAATCAAAAGATTCAAGTAAAACAATTATCTGATTGACCTTGATTAGATAATGAAATTGTTACTTTAATTCTGTTTTTTAATTTGATTCTGATAGATTAAGTTTAGTTCTCTTTTTTTTCTTTCCTGTTAGTAATGAATATTGATTAGATCATCATTGAACAAGTGAATAGTTAAGTTAAGGACTTTTATTGAAAATTAGAAATTAAACACGCAACTAAATATACAAGTAGATAATGACCTTATGATTATAGAATAAATATCGATATTATTATTAATGTTTTTATGTTATTTATAATGAAATGTTATTTAATCTAATTGGAACATTTGAATTCAGTAGATGAATTCAGTAGTATGATGTAAAGTAATTACCAATAATTAATTCTACTGGTTACTGATTCTATTAGAACTCCGGGATATACCTCTTGAGTCCAGTCACTAGTGAGCATATGTTGATTAGTATCAGAAGGGGTTTTGTGGATATTATAGTAGTTTTAATAGTTGGATTAATGAGTCAATGGAAGCTGGATCACCATGGAAAACTTGGAATCATTGGACGGTCGTTTCTTCCTGGTATGGAACTCCTCAGCAGTGCTCATCCACGATCTTGCCTCGCGAGGCTAGTGGAAGTTAGAAACTAACACCATTGGATGTCGGCTCAGTAGTTCAAAGGTTAAGGGTTCATGCGCGAGACTGACAGGTCCTGGGTTTGAATCTAGCGAGGTGAGATCGTGGTTGCGCACTGCTGAGAAGTCCCATATTAGGACGAAACGGCCATCCAGTGCTTCAAGATTTTCACTGATGGTCTATCATCAATCGGTTCATGATCTCAACTATTAAGAAAATAAATTTTATAACTTGATTATGCACTATCTAGTTTGTTTACTTTAAATATCAATGCACTAGTACAGTTAATGTATTTCTAAACTTCAACATCTTGACATATATTAAATCATCTTCAAGGATTTTTGTTTTCTAAATAGATTTATTTACCGAACCTTTAAGCTACTTTTAAAAATTATTGAATATGTAAAGAAATCTACTTCAAACACTTTTCAAAGCGATCACTTTCCAAATGCATCTCAGAACACTAACTAACTTGGCTTTTAAAAGGTGAATGTAAAACAATTACTAGTTCTATATAAGAGCATTTAATAAATTGTGGACATATCACTCCAAAAGATTTCTCTTTTAAAATAATCTACAAAATTAAAGGAATTGGATTAGAGGGGGTGTCAAACCAATATTTTATGAACTCCTGAGTTCTTGGTAATCCACAAACTCAAACTCGAAATTTGCATGCAAAAACGATTTGTCCAACCTCTTATCCTTTCTTGGACCTTATTCCCTTAATCGGTATGTTTCTAGGTATTTTTTTTCTTTCTTTCTGCACTTTTATTTGATTATCATTGCTTTTACATTGATTTGTAAATTAGTTACTATGTTATTTTATAAAACATTAAAAGAGAATAATCTAATTAGATAAAGTAGTAAATACGTGGGTATATTACGTAAATGAATGAATGAATTTATTGGCCAAATTATAAAATGTGTACTAAATAATGGAAACATAATACAACAATCAATAATATTTAACTATACATATTCTTCTTATTATCGATATACTAATATGATGATTATGAAATTACTTCTCTCTTATTATTAACTAATTATTCTAGTGGTTGGATTCAGGAGTCAATTTAAGCTAGATAACCTTGGAAAACCTGGAAGTGCTGGACGCCATTTCGTCCTATTGTGGGATCGATTAGCAGAAGGCATTTACAATCCTGCTTACAGGATTCGAACCCAGGGCCTATATGTCACACGTGTGAACGCTTAAACTCTACACCATTGACCTAGTATCCAACGTTGTTAATATCTAACTTCAATCAATCAACAATATTGCGCGACCGTCCATTATTGTCTCTAGTGAGTAACTGTCTCACAACAGATATGGATTGACTCCACTAGTCATGTCTAATGCTTACAGCTTAAATCAATTCATGAATTCAATCATAAAATTACTACAATTTCGACAAAATTTCATTCTGACAAATTTTTAATTGGAAGACATTTCCCTAAATTGTTAATTAAGTTAGATATTTGACTAAAATTCACTGTAAATGTAAGTTATTAAATTCTGATTCAGTTGATCCATATGTTTTATGTTCATTATGATCAATCATAAAAGTTATCAGTTTTATCGAATTCGGTTTAATGAGTACACACTGATGATTTGTCTAAAACTAGGACAAAATAGCTTATCATTTATAGATTTCCAGCTGATATCAGTTTAGAATGAAGGCCCCGGGTCCGAATCCCGCGAACTGGATCGGAGATGCTCATTAGGATAAAACGACTTTCTAGTGCTTCCGGGTTTTCAATGGTAGTCTAACACCAATCATTTCATGATCTCAATAAAAAAAAACTTAATAATCTTCACAACCCCTATACTGATATTGCCTTTAAATAAGTTTTACTTTATGTTTATTGATTGGTTAATCATATAAAAAATGGTCAAATTTCACGTACAAGAAGGTGGGTCAGATTACAAAGCACATTACAGCGGTGTATGTTCTAGACATATATCGGAATTTACGATTAGTCCATACAATTTAAGGGAGAAGTTATGTAAACATATGATCGCATGAAATTGATGTAGATAATATTAAATATTTATGTAAATTTCCCCGTAAGATGAATTACTCAATAGTTATAAAGAGAAAGAGCTCTCTGATAGCACCCTTTGTTATTATTCTCAATAAGTCAATTCATAAAGACTTATGATCTGTTCGCATAATTTTTACTTCATCTGAAGTTTCATTGTTTAAGATTGAAATTGTTACTATAACGACTTGTAACGAACACGATAATATCCAACTACTTCCTGAATATTTGAATGGTATTATCAAGATATGATCTAATAGAATAATGTATTGATTATATAGCTTAAAACAGTGAACAATACAAATGAAGCTTGTAAATACTCACCTCAGAGTTTCTTTTTACTTTCCGTTGGCTCTGTCAGTATGTATTTAATCTATTCAACAGTTCAGTAGCTTTGCTATTTGATTTGTAATATTATTCAATCTAAAATGAAGTTAAATACCCTGTTAATGACTGGAATTAATGATCAAATTATTTTGTGAATTGAATAAGGAATTAAAATTAGATCTATTGAATCCTAAAGCATCACGCAATGTTGGTACCAATATACAGGAAATGTTCCGGAAGATGATAGTCTTTTATATTTTTCTCTCTGAAGTTATTGTCTACTTGTTAGTAGTTCGTCAGTTTTTCAGACGTTTTTTTTGTTTTTGGTGAACTGCAGTTTTTGTATATTTTGCCTGTTTGTCGAATTGTATTTGTTCATCAATTATCGGAGACGTGAAACAGTTCTAGTAGACAACTGAGTAATTTCAATAGACACAAAGTAATTACATTCGAATTATAATAATCTGACTACATAGAAATACCTGAAATGAAGTACTATTTTCGGTAATGACCTGTCATCAGGTTTCAGAACAAATATTTCATCCCGGCTCTTGGATACAATCTTAACTTTAGTGCTAATAATCCTATCGAACTTCTAATTGAATACCAAGTGCCCCTGTCTTCAGTGGGAAAATCAACACAATGACAAGTATATGTGGCTGATGAGTCTCATACAGGAGGGAAGGTTTATTCTGAATTACAGCTCTCATTAAACAGTGGAAAATATCTATAAAAAATATCAAGACTTCCGTTTAAGAATCTCATATATTCAATAATGACTGGTTGTGAACTGATCGAAGCTAGAAATCCCAATCATTTGGCATTATCTCAGCAGTCTGTAAGTAATAAACTTGATATAAGATATTGACGTCTTGAGCTTGAACTCTGATTGGATGATGATTGTACACTACTGAATAGTTCATTATTAGAATGAAACAGCTATTCAATGCCCCTTAATTTCACTCGTTATCCAGTTGAATTTAGTCCGTAACATAATCTATGGATGTTTATATTCAGTACTGAATCAACAACGGTAAACCGGTAACGTTTGAAATTAATAATTGGCTTTTGTGTATTAAAGGTTTGATCAAAACAATCCTGAAGTTTAGTTCACATCTTATTTTCCACAACAACAAGGGCGATTTCTGTTTAGAACTGATACGAGCTGAAAGACTGTTGAAGATTACTAAGTACTAGATGACCGTTTTAAGTTGAAACTTAATTTACCCACCGTCACCTTAGTAACGTCATGTTACATGATAATCATTATACTATTCAGTAAATAAGTTGGGACGAATTATGTACAAGTTACGCTGTTGTGCAAGAAATCAAATATTCTTTTTAAAATATAAACTCATATTAATGTTTATGGGTTTCCAGTTCTTGATCTCATTCAAAATCATAAAGTTTATAGGACTTCCAATTAAATGAAGACATTCTGTAGAGATTTGGAAGACTCTCCCGGTCTCCCACATTATTCGGACGTTTCATATACCTAAGTTAATGGTTGCTTTAATTGTCAGAATGAAGATCAGCCTAGTGAATTCCGAAGGAACTCGGCTATTCATCATGAGGCGTCATAAGTTTTCTAAATGAAGACCTTCTAACTCCAAGGGCAGAGTTTGAATGGTTTGAATTATTTTTTCTGGTTAGCGGGATGGGGTAGCTAACCTCATACCCAACCCTCTTCATTTGTCCGGGCTTTAGACCGGCAGTAGCTCCAGTGGGCCCCAGGCGGAGTTCAAATGAGGAAATATACTTCCATAAATCCATATTAATACGACTGTTCATATACCGTGCATAATAATCTAATTGCCTTAATCATGTGAACATATACATTACTGAAAATCAAGTAAAAGTAAATTTTAATGCTTCCAATTCAACTGCATGCAAACGACCTCCGTTCAATATTCAATGGCAGTGATGAGAAGAAAGTGCAGTATATTTGCAATTGAAGAACATCTGGAACTCAAAACAACTGTCAGTTAACCAACAACAAAGTCACAATTTTCAATACAACTGTCAAGACAGTTCTACTGTATGGAGCAGATACTTAGAGATTTACGAAAACAATCATCCAGAAAATACAGGTGTTTATTAACAGTTGTCTACGCAAAATACTTCGGATCCGTTGGCCTGACACTATTAGCAACAACCTACTATGGGAGAGAACAAACCAGATCCCAGCGGAGGAAGAAATCAGGAAGAAGCGCTGGAAGTGGATAGGACACACATTGAGGAAAGCACCCAACTGCGTCACAAGACAAGCCCTCACATGGAATCCTCAGGACCAAAGGAGGGGAGGAAGACCAAAGAACACATTACACCGAGGAATGGAGACAGACATGAGAAGAATGAACAATAATTGAATAGAACTATAAAGGAAGGCCGACGACAGAGTGTGTTGGATAATGGTGGTCGGCAACTTATTCTCCATTGGGAGTGACAAGCGCAAGTAAGTAAGTGGTAAGGAGAAAAACAATATACAAGGAGTAAAATAGAAAGTATTTTATTTGATGGAATTAACCTTAAATGACGTATTACTGATTTATTTAATTAGACAATTACTGCGCAATCACAGATATCTACACTACACCCATGAAGATAAATGTTCACATTTTACGTAAAGTAATTTGAAGCATCATAATCACATTTTATAAACATTTCTATATGCTTGCAATTGCGTTTTACACTTGAATTTCGCTTGTATGTATCCATGTTTAAGTATACAAATTTAGCTGATCGTTGTAATGATGATGAGATATCCATACAACTTTTCACATGTTTTCAAATTGGTTCACTGACATGATTTAATCTAGAAATAATGTTCACAAAACCATTTCAGTAACAGGGCATTCACTACTAAGTTAGACGAATTCCACAGATCCCTGTGAATTTCAGATATGTTAAGAGTGAAAAGTGAATGATTGTTTGGCTATATATCAACTCAGTAGTCTAAATGTTCGGCAGTTATAACGAGATTTGAATGTCTCTTGTTCCATGCTTAGTAAAAACATGGTAAATCAATCCTGAGGAGTCCACTACTAGAACTCAACAGTTGTCCAGTACTCCTGATTTTCATCGACACCCTAACTGAGATAAATCCTTGTCAAATATCTTTTACAATTAAGAATATATTTATTTCTTACCATTTAAGTCCATATCAGTGTATCACTGAGTAATTACTTCATCTTTTCTTATTTAGATTAAAAAACGTTGTTTAATGAAATGATAGAGGATTATAAACGGATTAATATCGATTGTTACTGATTACTTAATATTGAAAATTTAAGGTGATCTACTTGAAATTGATTCATCTTAATTAGTGGTCACAACTAATCTGATGATAAGAATTAGATTACAGCTATAAACATGAAATAGATGATCTTTATTGTAACCAAGTCATTGATTAATGTAGAAAGAATTGATTCTGATAGAAAAAAATTTATTTTTATTTATTTATTTCAACACATAGATAATGGTACAAAGAGGCACCAAATACATATGCGCCACACAAATCTCATTCGATATGTGTGTGAGGGCTGTGATACTGCTCGGGTGCCCAAACCGAAGCAGGTGGTTTTCTTAGGGGGCCACACCCCGAGCCTTCGACCCAAAGGTCTGATCCACAAGGCAGTGAAGCATCGTAAGGAGATGCAGTCACATGGAAGCCGGTGACCAACAATTGGTTCATTCGCCATTTGTTCCCGCAGGATACTGGAGCCCATGTGAACCATTGGTTTGGAATCCGGTTAAAGCGCCGGACATTCGCTTTTCGTCCTCTCATTTTCGTAAACAACACCCCCGCCACGAAAAGGCAGTGAGTAGGACTTCCCTGGCAGAGGCTATATACGCGTGGCCGTGTGAGAGTATTTTGAGAGGGAGAGCGGACTCTCCCCACTCTCGGCCGTACCAGGGCACTTGGGGGCTACTACTAAGATAACTACTACTACTCATACCACAACTACTCCCATCACTACTATGGATACTATAAAAAACAGTAGCTTCTAAAAGGTCAGTCAAATACCTGATATAAATATGTATCGGCTCAAGTAACCACTCATTAAATCAACACAGAGAGGAAATTAGAAAGATGTATAACAAAGAATAATAAATAAAATGAATTTCGTGGACTGATTAAAGTTAGATATTAGCACCATTTGATGCCGGCCGGCTCAGTGGTCTAGAGATTAAGTGTTTACGTCCTAGACTGATAAGTTTTGAGTTCAAATCTCGTGAGGCGGGATCGTGAACGCGCACTGTTGAGGAGCCCTACAATAGGACGAAACAGCTATTCAATGCTTCCAGTTTTTCCATAGTGGTCTAGTTTCAATCGACTTATGAATTCAATTACTAGAATGAATTTCGACTGAAATCTTGTCATGTGACAGTTTAAAAGGAATCAATGATTTCTAAGAATATAATCATAATAATCAAGAATAAATCAGGATTACGAGGAAGACGGAGAATCAATACAAACCTTGAATTATAGATTACAGTGCTATTTGATTCGACTGTAGAGTTTAACTGAACTCTTAGATGCTGACTGGAATTTTGTCGTTATTGAATACAATAAAATATCAAACAATAATCACGACATTATGTAACTTGTATCATAAACTGATTTTAGTGAAATAGTCACTGGAAATTAGGGAGCATTGGATAACATTTTGTTCTAGTAAAGAAATGAGAACCACACACTGATCATACTGCAAGGGTCCAAATTCAATACTTTTATGTTTAGCGTCAAGTGTATTACCTGCAAGCTAATAAACTGAAATTTTAATGGTCCATGTTTCTGACTTGAATCTATTCATGATTATGAGCGATCAAATTATACGTTCAATGTTCTATAGGATAGCCATTTCAGTTCTTTAATAGCCTATGCTCCGTTTCAGCTGTAATCATTGTTTATAATCACTAAGACTAGTTAATACTAACTTACAGTCCACCGCTTTACCTTTGGGTAATTTGACAGAAAGGTAGTATGATGCAAACAATTGAGAATGAACAACACAAAATTAATTATTAATAACCTGCTAATATTTATTAGTGACGTGTACAATTAACTATAGTCTCGCTTTATCTCGTTATAAGTCGGCTTTTCTTAACAAAAATCTAAAACCTAATGACCTTTCGACATCACGTTAATTACAAAGTCAGTAAGAATCCATTGATGTATGGAATTTTTAACTGGATTCAGTTAACCATATTATCATAACTTTCATTCGATGAAATCAATCATTTGATGATTCACTTTTAATTTAATAAACTATAGAGGTTATGTTCACATGATGTTGTTTACTTGTATCTTCCCATAGTTATTTAGGACTATAATTGATCAGTCTCTTGTTGGCATATATGCATCCTGTGCGGACTGCCTCAATATTGCATGAATTCACAAGCTTTATAAGCAAAGATGGATAGTGACTAGCAGTGAAATCCAGTTTGATGCGCGTTTCGTCCTATTTTGAGCTCGTCAGTTGGATGTACCTGCATCTCACAGTTGATGTTCAATCTGCGACTCGAACCCAATATCGTTCGCTTCAAACACCATCGTGTTGTCCATTTAGCTACTGAGTCTTGACAGCCACCTGCTTGTGCAATAGGGTGAATTTAAATTCACTTGATATTGCTTTTGCTTGTATCTTCCCATTGAGGTTTCAGGTTGAAATTGATCAGTCTGTTATTAACATGTGTGCATCCTGTGTGGATTGTCTCGATACAGCCTTAAGTCACAAGCTTTTTAAGCAAAGATAAATAGTGACTAGTAGTGGAATCCAGTTTGACGTGTGTTTCGTCCTAGTTTGGGTTATGACCTCGTCAATATTTTAACTAATTGAATCATAGAGTTCAAACTTAATCAACTGATATAATTTATGCATAAATTATTAAATAAGAGAAATAGAAATGAGATATACATTGAAAACTAACTGTTTAACACATTACTTACTAAATTGTTGTTCAGGTAAATAGTGGAAATTATAGAATAAACAATGGATAATACCTTTTACATCAGTAATTTATATTCATAAATCATGTAAATGAAGTGCATGTATTTGTATACTTAAAGATGTACTCAAATATCTATGGAAATCTTCATACATTATAAATCTATTATAAGTTTATCATAGAAGTTAATCTAATTGTCCATTCAAATGTTTGTATCTATGTGGAATAAGTTTATATAACCAATTGTTTTAATGAACAATATGCTATTGAACTTAAGATTATTGAATATTTATACATTACACAAATACAATAATTATTATTCATTTAACAAACAATTGTTTTAATGCTCTTCTTACTACCGTTTTATGGTTATGTCTGTATTTGTATATAGTTGTATACAATGGATACTTACTTATATTGAGACTAGAACCAGTTAATGATAGATTTACAGTTATAATGTTTTGAATGAGAATAGAATTAGGGACAATTAATGTATTTTAGTATGAAATTACATAGTATCTTAGTGTTATATCCTGATGAGTATAGTGGATGGTAACTGTCGGAATTTATTTCTGGACTAATACTATACGTATACTTTTATTGTATAATTGTTAAGTAACTAAACTATTCATATTCGTGTTCCACTTATCATAAGCTTTATTTTGACCTCACGGGCTATTATTACACGATTTATCATTCTTGAGTTATGGCCTGTCTATCTCCCACATTCACAACCATATTTGGCTATATCTTGTACAAGTGTTGTTTTCAATTTTATGGTGTGATGTGGTCTGTTTGGTTGGTATATAAACCCAGTATGTTTGGAATAAATGATTTAAAACATGGAGGCTGAGATTGGTATTGTGGACTTGACAGGCAGGACTAGTCAGGAAGCAGGACCGGACACGGCACAAGTCATAACATATTGTAAAATATAAAAAGCAAGCACTGAATACTTCATTTGTAAATTTCTATTACCTATCTTTTACATTTTGTATGATACTTCAAGTTAGAAATTTCTTTCTATTTCCTCTCCTATTCCCTTCCACTCGATTTTCTTAGCCTTTTGTTGTCAGGTTTTTTTTTACTTCCGATTGGTGTTACATACTACTTATGTCTGTCGAATAAATATCACATACCACAATAGATGTGACCAGTGAATTATTCAGAGCACATCGACCTCTTTTAGGTATAAAATATTCATAATGGTTATTAGGTAATCAATATCAAACATTTGTACTGGTCTTTTAAATCTCATTGATGTTTACCACTGCGAGTGATCAGCCACTTTTGGTATATGTGTATCCTATACGGATCGTCTCTTTACTTCCAGTAAGTTATAAGCGTTTTGAGAAAAGATTGTTGATGTCTAGTAGTGGAATCCAGGGAACACATTTCGTCCTATTTAGGAATTTTCATCTGGATGTACCTGCATCTTAGAGTTGATGCACACCCACAGACTTGAACCCAGTATCATTTGTTTAAAACAGGCCTCCATATAGATAATGGTTCCCGAAGATAATGGAAGCTCTGTAATAATTTTTTATTTTGCTTCTTATTCACCGTACATTACTGAATGTCAACATAATTTCATTGTGTTACATATCAATCATCAGAATAATAACTAGAAGTTGTGTTCCGTAGGAATTCGTAAGTACTTTCATAGAGTCATTTTCTCAGTAAAATCAGAAAATAATTCTGAATCAATTATAGAAATGTTGTGAAGGTATCGTATCAACGATAAAACGTATTATGCTTATTTTCTTTTATCTGAAGTAAAAATATATCCACATATGACAAGTCTAATCGATTATCAATTCGATACTCATTCAGATCTCATTATGTTGATGACTGAATCCAGATGATAGAATCTCAGGGTCACAAGCAAATCTATAAATATAAGAAGGGGTTTTTGTGGACGACCGTTCCATTCTAGTATGGGACTCCTGAGATTTAGAACCCAGGACCTGTCAGTCACGCGCGCGAATGCTTAACCTCTAGACCACTGAGCAGGCATCCAGCGTTGTTAATGTCTAAATTCAACTTCGAATTTCACGGAGTAGGATTATGGATGATCACTGCTGAGGAGTCTTCCAATAGGCTGTCCAGTGCTTCCAGGTTTTCCATGGTGATCTAGCTTCCATTGACTTATGATCTCAACTATTGATATTACTATCCCTACTGATATTACTTTTTTTGTTTAGAATTTGAACACTGAAGAAATTTAAGGTCTGGATAGTAATAAAGAATCATTTATCTCGAAATATATTGAAGTCAAATCAATTTTCCAGAATTCAAGTTTGACAATATCATAAATGAGAATAGCTAATAAGTTTTATTTATACGTAGGTTGGATTGATTATTCAACGGATTCTAACTTACAATAAATCTCTACAAACTCATTGTAATAACAAATTTGTCCTTATGAAAATATTGTAGTCAATTTTCATTTTATCTACATTATAATTGTATCTAGATAATGCCATGTAAGGTCAGTACCATGTACTTTGATTGTTATTAGAAGTATATTAATTATTAATGATCTAACATATATATATATATATATATATATATATATATATATATATATATATATATATATATATATATATATATATATATATATATATATATATATATATATATATATATATGCCTAATCTAGGTAGAAAGATTCGTTTATATATAGGATGTTAAGGTAATATGGGTTCAGTTTTGTTTCGGGTCAGAAATGAGTATTATAAATAAAACTATTCTAACAAACCGAAAATATTGATAATGAATATAATATAAAGTATGTGTGTGTTTGTTTTGTAATATTATGTATAAATGCATCAATATTTATAACAGATTGATAAGTGGATATATCGCTCAATCTCATGGATTGGTTGAAGTTAAACATTAACACCGTTAGATGCCTGTTCAATGGTCTACAGGTTAAGAGTTTGCGCTCAAGACCGAAGGTTCTAGGTCCAAACTTCGCGAGGTGGGATCGTGGGTGGCCTAGCGAGATTCGAACTCGGGATCTATCGGTCTCCATCGCGCGAACGCCTAACCTCTAAGCGGGATCGTGGATGCACACTGTCGAGGAGTCCTACAGTGCAAAGATGCTTTCAGGTTTTCCATGGTGGTCAAACTTCAATTGACTGATGATTTCAACTATTAAAATATTGATTAGTGCTATTGAATGAACAATCTATTTGATTTACAAACCGCTTCTAATAACCTCAAATTTAACCTACGCGAAGACTTGAACACAAGAGGAAAGTCGTGAAGTGCGAAAAGAAAGACTGGTTTGATTATCAAAATAGAACAAAATGATTTGAGGTCCCATCATATAATCTATTCACAGTTAAACTAATAGTCAGATTTCCTTAAATTGAACTGAGCTGTATTTAATAATAATAATAATTCAATAACCTACTGTGTGAACACATATTTACAATATTATACAACTAAATATTAACGCTATAGGGTTGTGAGGATTGTTGAATTTAGACTGATATAATGGATAGATCAATGTTAGACCACCATTGAAAACCTGGCAGTATTAAACTGTCGTTTTGTCTTCGTATGAGACTCATTAGTGGTGTGAATCCACGATCATGCACGTGGGACTTGATCCCAGAACTTTCAGTCGCGTGCGCGAACGCATGACCTCTAGAGCACTGACCTGGCATCCAACTCAATCATCTCCACAACCATATACTGACAATTATCATGTTCTCACTAGTGACTGGCTTCGAGATGGATTCCGTGGAGTTCTAGTAAGAAGCCGTAACCAGTGCAGTTCAACTGTATCTGTTGTGAGGCAGTTACTGACGGAAGATAATGGTGGACAGTCAAGTGATATCATGGATTGATGGAAGTTATACATTAACGCCGTTGGATGCCGGCTCAGTGGTATAAAGGTTAGGAGTTCACGCGCGAGACCGAATTTTCGGGGTCCGCATCCCGTGCGCGGGATCATGGATGCGCACTGTTGAGGAGTCTCACGCTAGGACGAAAGGGTCGTCTAATGCTTCCAGGTTTTTAATGATGGTCTAACATTGATTCATTCTTGATATCAATCTAGATTAAATATTAATCATTCTTCTTAAGATGTGGATACGTCACACACTATTGTAAAAATATCAGTTACATGTGTTATTCGCACTCCAGTTGATCAACCTGTTACTCATCATATCACGTGTATGTTCAAATCTCAGTCTAAGGAAAGTTCAATTTCTCTATGGATTTTTTGACACACAACATTCCCATATACATATATTCAAACTTTATTATAGTATGAATGAGTTAGTGATGACTTCAATTTTGAGGATAGTTTCCATTAGCAACTAATTTTATCTAGAGAAAATATGAGATAGCTGTTTAATCTTAATACTGGACTACAGGAAAGTGTATATTTATGACTACCTCAAATTGGATCTGGAGTTCCAAATATTTAGATTATTAAGTCGACATTTAACATCCAACACTTTCAATTTGATATTATTGAAGAGATGTTTTAAAATATAATTGAACATTAGTCAACGACTATTCATTTTCAACCGTAAATATCACAGTTTATTTCTGCACTGTATGGTATGTTTGGCGAGACTCTAATTTATGAACGAACCAATCACGTATAAGATAACAGGTGTTGAATTTCGGCACGAAATTCATTCATCATTTTGGATAAAATGAGTTTTGACATTATAGTTGATGTCAGTTCGTGATGAAAATCCGGAATGTAATTTCTAACCTTAATCATCAACTGTAAATTCTAATTTTTCACACTGGTTTATAACCCTCATTTGATCTTGGTTATTAAATGAACACGCTCAAGGTTAGTCTAGCGTTGCTCATATGTCGTCCATAAATTTATAGTCTTACCAATGGTCCTATTCCTTTTACGGTAGCTTATTAGTACATTTTGCTAAATACAATACTTTGTTATAATAAATGTAAAATAATTTTTAAAAAAAAGCTTCTTAAAATAGATGCACAATTTTAAAGTATGATTCCCAAAAGTTACTACGAACTAACTGTAATGAGAATAACAGT